CACAAGCTTCCCGGTACCAGGTGTACTGATGCACTTTTCGATGCTCGAAGAAGGTTTTCATAATAGACAACTCGTTGTTTGCACAAAACCGCAACAACTTCATGCCTTTATTATTGAGGTCGCTAGGGCCGTTTTTCCGAATCACGCCGTTGCACTTTTCAGCGTCTACTCCGACGTGCGCATTAAAATCGCCCTTCAATATGAGGGACTCTATATTCGGCAGAGGACACTGCACTTCCTCAAGGAAGGTCTCATATTCTCCCTCCAGATTGGTCGCATAGACCTGTACCATTTAGCCTGTTGTAGCTTCAGTCGGAGGATTACCACCCTTCCGCTGATTGGCTTCTGGTTAATAGATCTATCGGCGAGTTTCGGTTCTACCAGGACACCAATACGAGCCTGAGCGGGAGTCGTGATATCGACGCCTGAGTAGAACAGCTTCTATTGAGGTTCAGGAGTCCAGAGCCTGGGCGTTTTGCTGACGAGAGTCCAACAATCTATTTGGTACATCATGGTCTCATCAACTAATTTTTGTTGTTTTCCTCTGAGTGAAGATATGTTCCAATTTCCGACTTTAAGCTCCCACTGGTGGTGTCGTTCTCGTGGAGCCTTTTCTAACATGCTATAATGGCATCGCGCTGTCTGCCTCCTCGGTTCAGAACGGGTAGCGACTCCGTTGCTGACTGGTATTTTCGTCGTCGTTGCGTCGGTCCTCTCTGCTGTCGCTATGCTGCCACGCCCCCGGCTGGCAGAGGTCAATGAGCAGGTTCTGATCGCCGACTTTTCGCAGTCTGCCTCAATCCCGCAACAGCCTGTGCGGCCCTTGGTAACCCGGGGGACGGCCGAGCCGGTATAATTTTCGATGACGTCAATACCATGGGTGGCAGGTGGCTGAATGTTACAAAGACTTGCCACAGTCTCCAGCCCTCCTGCATTCTCATCCGGGCTTGGGACCGGCAACGGCGGAGTTTGGCTCTACAACATGAAATAGCATTATAACTGCAACGGTTTACACATTGTGCTGATTATTGCGTTGGGTAGTCAGCTATCAGGA